GCTTTATAACTGTCCATGTACTCACCCCGTGCACATGCCCAGTTGGAGTCCCCAGGCCCTTCTGTTGCTTTGTGTTTGTAAATAGTCAGCTTCTTGGATTTCATAGATGGAAAGGATTCTTTGTCATTCTGCAGGGCTTAAAGGTGGATGGCTACCAACCCACCAGAAAGGGACCAACTGAGCCCTGAACGCAGGGCTCTCAGATGTGGGAGACTGGCTCTGGCTTCCAGGCTAAGGCTAAAGCTTCCAACCTTTGCTTGGTCTCCTTCCCCTGAAGCTTTCAAGACCTTTTGTCCTTTTAGTAATTTTCCTGTCGTGGCATTCTCCGACTTTATAGCGAGATATGTACCCATGACAAAGGCATCCATACAAGACCACGTCCATCTCCGTCACAAAGCAGGCAGCCTGGTCTTGAATACAACACCCTCCTTGCCTCCCTGAGCCAACCCCTACTAGATGCACAGGATTTGTTCTGCTCTGTGGAGAAGACAGCTGGGTTTCCAGTGTTTAAATGCGAGACAGATGGGGTCAAGTTCATTGTCCTGTAGGGCTGTCTGCCAACAAGCAGGTATGACAAATTGCAATTTGGGGACATTGGCAGCTTTCACGGCCCCTCGTGTACTTTGGCTCCTAAGATAACCATGGCGATGTGGCATTTTAAAAATCTCCCAATTTGGAATCTGCTTTAGCCTTCCTCATTCCCAGACATGCTCCTAGCAAGCAGTGGCTGAAATATTAAAGTGCAGGTCCATAGGTGCTCGACTCAGGAATACAGTCGCTTCTCCTCTGTGCTAAAGCCAGGCTTTGGACAAACCACGAGGACCTGACCTTGAGCTAAGCTTTCCTCTTTTGCTCAGATTGTCGTCATAGAGACAGTCAGTTTGTCTCCCATGATGTACCAGTTTTTTTGTATTCAGATGGTACCCTTAACTGATGTGCCCCATTAACCATGATTGGTCTTCCTTGTGTGATGTTGCTTCCTCCTACCCAAGGCTATTGCTATTGAGCTGACAGGTCTCTCTCTCTCTCTCTCTCTCTCTCTCTCTCTCTCTCTCTCTCTCTCTCTCTCTCTCCCAGACTCTTCAGTGTTCTACAACTGTCTGCTTGCCAAGAAATATGCTGTATTTGTTCCTGGACTTGTTTATGCCCTTTGTATTTATAATTGAAATGATGTGACTTGACTATTATAGATACCAGTAAATTATTCTTGTCTTTGGGGAAGAGGGAGATATCAAATAAAATGCACAGAAAGAATAGGGGCAGCTCCAGTGTGCACACAGGTTTCTCTGAGGTCTGGTTCTGTCACATGGCATGACATTATTTTCAAGACAGGGAAGCAGCCATGACTCCTAGAAGATAATCTACATTTAGAGGAAATGCTCAGGCCTCACTGCAAAAGACAGCCAACACCTTAAAGCATATAAGTGAAAGATTTCAGTATTTATCATTGAAATTGAAATGACATACTTATGCCAGACAGATAAGAGTTGCTGTGGTTTCTCCCAAGACAGTGGGTTCTCAGGTCATGAACAAGGCTACATTTTTCTTGTCTTTAACATTTGTTCCCGTGAGCCTCAAGCAACTTTTGTGTCATTGGAGACACTGTGAGAGGAATTGTTGTGTTTGATCTCTAATAAAGAAGGGCAGGAGCTGGGTGTAGTGGCTCACACCTTTAATCCTGGCACTTAGGCGGCAAAGGCAAATGGCTCCCTGTTAGTGTGAAGTTAGCCTGGTCTATACATGAGTTTCAGGATAGCCAGGGCTACATAGTGATGCCCTAGCTCTAGACCAAACCATACAAAGAATGACAGGAATATGGAGGGGAAGGTTACGTGAGTTTGTGTGTTCCACTTATAGAAACAGTGATGCTTTATTGAACACTAGTTACAAGATTCAATGAAACAGGGACTTAAGGGATTGTGGGAACTCCAGCTGGACTGTTAACATGCAGAATGTTCCAGAACTTGCTTACTAAGCCAGAGTAGATTCTGTTTACATGTTTGGCCTTGCAGTTTGTTGTTTGTTTGTTTGTGTTTTCTTGCTCTGAATGGAATGGAAGAGAGAGAGATAAAGCTGCATTCCTCCTTCCCCATCCTCTGCGGATGCTTCTGCATTTGTTCGGGGCCTGAGGGAGCCTCTGCAAGGCAGGAAAAGCCTCTTTTCTATCCTGCTTATGAAAATGCATACCACCAAATCTTATTGTCAATGAACAGACCTCTGGGGGCTGATGGGCACCCGCTGGTTTATGCAGGCGAACCAGAGGGATAAGCAAGCCTCTGCCTTTGTATTTCATGAGTCTTCCTGAGGTTCTGGTACATTCTTCTGGTGCCTGAACACCCACTGCTCTTTTGGATGACCTTTGGCAAATGTGCTTGGATTCATGCAGAATGCTGGTTGAGCCAATTCAACGTGGTATCCTCTCTAGGCTAATTCCCCCGAAAGACAAATTCTTATCCTTCTCTGACTCATTAAATCACTTTTAATATCACTTTTTATGTAAGTCACCCCTGGATTTAGAGATAAATTTATTTAAATTATTTCAGTTACATTGGACAGTGTCCTAATAAATTCTCTTTTCAATCACCCACAAAATGTTAAGTAGTTTTAGGCTGAACATGCTCGTCCCATGAAGGTTCTCTGGAAGTCTCTGCCTCTTCAGTCTAGTCACAGTGGAAGACTGGATGAACTCTGGCGCTGGAAGTGGGCTGAACCTCAGGGAGGAATTGCCTGATGCACACTCGCAGGCCTTAGTTTTATTAATGTCATCAGTTAAAAATGGAATGTCCTGGTTAAAGCCATTCACTGTTGATTTAAAGTCCTTATCCACAGTTTGGACTTAGTGCTAACATCCCACCAGGCATGCTCATCTGAAAGGTGGTTACAAAGTTCCCACCACGCATGCTCATCTGAAAGGTGGTTACAAAGTTCCCACCAGGCATGCTCATCTGAAAGGTGGTTACAAAGTTCCCACCAGGCATGCGCATCTGAAAGGTGGTTACAAAGTTCCCACCAGGCATGCGCATCTGAAAGGTGGTTACAAAGTTCCCACCAGGCTTGCGCATCTGAAAGGCACTCCCTCTGGAACTGAAACGTGGAGTTCTAGATAGAAAAACCGCTCATGGTACTTGATTCTTTTTACTTCTACACTGATGGCAGCCAAGAACAATTGAGAGCCTCACACCCTGACCAGGGTTGCTGGAGTTTCCTGGATCTTTGTCTGTTGCCCATTCCTTAGCCCTTTACTTGGGCCTCTTACAAAACCTTGGTGCAGGATGGATTCAACATGGTGGGCCTTCTCAGCTCCAGCTCTAACGACGCCTTGGGCCTAGCGACTTTATTGTCATGGGCTTTCCTATGCATTGCAGGATACCATCAGCACCCTTGGCTTCTTCCTACCCATCAGGTACCAGTCATGCATGCCCACCTATGACCAACGAATCCCTCAGATTCTGCCCATTGTCCTGTGGGAGTCAGAACCTCAGTGCCTACACCTAGCTGTGGTTTCTTCTGCCAGCATCCTGACAACATTTCCATGTGATCCAGCTCTGCTTTTAAAGACCCGAGACTATATCTGGGATGCTCAGCCTGGGTTATCATGGTCATATCTCTGCAGCACCTCAGCACAGGACCTGACGAGTGTGAGACTAAGTGGCCTGAAGCCTTCCTACTCTGTCCAGGTGTGACCTCTTTCGTGTAGTGGTAGTGACATTTTGTTCACTGTTGTTTTATTATTTTATTTTTTTTATAGGGGAACAAGGAGAATCCTGTCTGTAGTTTTAGACATATAAAACTATTTAGTTACTACTGGGCTTTTTTTGTGATAATTTTACAGCTACTAAAATTATTATTTTTTTAAAAGAAGATATACAGATAGCATTAGGTATAGGAAAAGATGCTTACTAACCATCCGGAAATGTAAACCAAAGCCACACGGAGACATTGCCTCGATTTATAAAAACAACACTACTGTTAGTTGTTGAACCGGATGTGAGGAAAGGAGGATGCTGTTGTTGGGATGTGTGCCGCCACAACCACTATGGAAAACCCTGTGAACTGTCCTCAGCAAACCCCAACTGCCACCATAAGGCCTACGCCATGACTCATGGGCATACTCCCAATAGAAAGGAGCTCAGTGTTATCTCAGAGATGTCTGCACTTACCGCTGCAGCCCAGTTCACGCCAGCCAAAACACAGGAGCCCTCTCAGCCCTCGACCTCATTTTTCAAGTATACAAACGGACCAAAGCTAACACCTATCACTGTGGCCATAGTTAGTAAAAATTACACACACACACACACACACACACACACACACACACACGAGGGGAAAAAAAAGACAGCAATTTCTGCAAGTTTTGACAATGCCTTAAAATCTTATTACTGTCAAGGACCTAAATGTAACTTTTGCCTGCTGACGGTTTCTGATCTATTCTTGTGGGTGTCAATCCTTACAAAGTTCATATAAAAACAAAACACATGACAAGCTTTTGTAGTTTCCTGGGAGGGGATCCTACCTCAGGGGAGGAGAGAACCACAGACCTTGTGAGTTCCTTGAGAATCCCTGTCCATATGATGTGAGCAGAGGGGACCTACCATGGACTCCTACGCTATACAGTGTGGATCTGCACCTTTGATCCATACCATCTCATGGGCATAGATTTTACTGTTTTGCTGGAGCACAGTTTTGTGCTCCAGGCTATAGATTCCCAGGGAGCAAGCCATCAAAATGATACTGGCTCCCTAGACTGGGATGGTGCATTTGCAAGACAAGCGTGTTCACACTCTTCTTCAACCTGGGATTGTAGACCTGGGCAGTGGGGGTTGGGGTTTGGTAGAAGGATGACTGTTTAGACATAGCTTAGAACTATGGCCAAAGAAGGATCTTTACTTTTTTTTTCTCTGATGGAATCTTCCCAGCATGGTCCCAGTGATTCTCGCATTAGTGGGTAAACAACCATTTGTCCGTCAGAATAAGAAAGTGGGAAGAGAGTGTTGACGTACCTATAGATAATACATGCACTGTTCCTGCACGTGTCACAATTAGCTGTGTCTTGCCCCGTCCGATATGAAAGCCTACAAGATAAGAACAGGAGAGCATTACAAACAGCGGCTGGGGATGGGGGGGCCCGGCCGCTGGCCTCACATAGCTGAAGCCTCAAATCAGACGCCTTCCCGATGGTGAGGAACTTGTGATCATAGGAACTGACGCCTCTGTGTTTACCACTGAGCTCCTGTCTGTGCCTTTATGGTACCAGCCAGTACCCGTCTACAGCCAAGATGTCACTGAAATTAAATTTAGAATGTGAACAGACGCTCCCGGATGACGTGTGTAATCTGATTGCGTTATAACCACGAGGAGTGGGATGTTTCAAAGTAGCTTTATGTTTATTGTATCTTTTAAAATATCTACCGGAGAAACCCATGGGTTTAAAGGCTGACAACTGCCTGGTTTTGTGACCTACCAATTCCTGTCCTGCTAGAGCAGGGTTTGACACACATGGCCTCTGCCTCAAATCCTACCCCAGCCTCCATAACCCATCTGTCTAGCCTTCCAAGGATGGATTTTATGTTGTTAAATGCTTGAAAAAGAATCCAAAGAATAATATCTATAACACGATTCAATTATGCATGTCTCCAAGGGGTTTCATTCCAACCATAAAGATTGTGATTTAAAACATAGGTGAATATGCATATAATTTCTTTTGCTTTTTGCCTTTTGGTCTATAAATCCCAGAATATTCCCTCAGTGGGTCTGTAGAGAAAACAGCTCTGGCGCCTCTGACTGTATCTCTCCTCCAGTCAAGGCTTCTAACGCACTCTCCGGCTGTGCCGTCTGCTAAGTGATGGCTCTATAAGGGCATTACATGGCAGACTTCAGTTCGCCCTGGAGACCACGCAGGTGTGTGTGTGTGTGTGTGTGTGTGTGTGTGTGTGACACACACATGCGTGTCAGGGATTGTCACTTTCTCATAATAAGATAACAAACTTTAGCTTTTTTTTTTTTTTTTTTTTTTTTTGTAGTATAGTATTGAAACTTGCTTTGCTTTAATGGGTTAGATTTTCTTCCCCAGGTCAGGTTTACCTGGAAGATACCTTGGACCATTTGCCCTCCAAGAACCTTGTGTGTGGTGCTCTGTGCTCCCTCCCAACTACTCTCCCCTAGCTAGACTTCCTGCTCCTTCTAAGACGCCCGCATACTGTATTCTAAACATTATTTGCACCCAGGGTTCAACGGGAGCAGCCGAATCGGTTTGGTTGATGGCGGGAGAAATGTTTTCACCTGGATTGATTTCTAATCACGTTGGGGGCAGATCTGCATGGACCAGCAAGGGAGAGTCCTGTGTACAGTGGCTGCGTCAACACCAGTTGTGTGTGTTTGTATCATCTTTCGCTGTGTCTACTGTGTGCATATGCATCACGAGTTTCCAATTGAAAATATCATTTGTTTCCTCGTTTATATTTTGCGTTATGTAAACATCTGACAAAAAAAAAGCACTGGCTGCTCAATACTGACATTGTCTCCGTGGACTCCGTAAATGCGGGCATGACTTTGAGTTCAGTGCCATTTATTTGAGTTTGGTGTAGCTTATTTGTTAATCAAATGATCACACTCTGCCCCACAAATGTTGCCAAACATTGCTAGGATTCACTGAAAAGGAGTTAGGATCACAGTATCACTGTGTTTGTACTGTCCCTCTGCTATCCTGGGCTCCTTTGGACACCCATATCTGGCCTTTCCCCCTGGGCTTCATGTCCTCCCTCTGTCCTTCCCCATACATGGCAGTTCTTGCTCTTCGCTCCTGTCCCCCAATGGGCAAGCCCCTTGTATACACACTGCCTCCTCGTACCTTCCTAGACAGGGACCTCCTGGGTATGCACAGGGTCGTTCTCTTTTCTGTTTACTCAAATGAGCTTGGCCCTCAGCTTGTTCTTGATCTTAGCCACCATTCAGTGAGCAATAGGTGCTGGCCTTGAGTCCACATCCCTGGTGTGACATCTTAGCCGTGTCACGCTGATGTGCTGCCACTCTGGGGGCGGGGTTGCCCACAAAGTTCTGCTGCCCTAATGGGTATGAGCCATAGAGAGAGAGTGCACCTAGTAGTCTTTTGTGCTAGCCACTTCCAAGCTCTTGTTGCTTAAAGAAGGCTGCTGTGGTCCCTAACCACTGTCTGGGGCACTCATAGGTGCACTTCAGTCTCCTAGAACCTTCCTGCCCTAGACCTCACTATAACCTCTACTGGGCCTGATCAGCGTCATACCCCATTTTTGCTCAGTCACCTCCAAGCCTCAAGAGTCTCACTTGTATTAGTGCCTGGAGTCTTCCAATTAATTATTCTCTTCTCATTTTATAGAACAGAATCCATCCACACTCCAGGCCCAGGATCTCATTATTCTTAGACCCCAGGCTTCTGATGTTCTGTGCTGCCTTGCCTCTATCCAGGGACCTGTGTTTTTCACTACATGTAATTGGCAGCTTGGGATAGTCAGTGAATCCGAAAAATGACAGGACAAAGGCTTCAGGCACCAGAGAGTCACAAGAGGACCCTCCTCCAGGATGGTAGAATACTTTAGCAAGAAACTGTCCTTTCTAAGCTCTCCTGAGCAGACTGTGCTAATCACTTATAAAAGGCACACATATCCATCCCAGACAGTTAGCACATACCTACTAAGTCAGGCATGGTTGTGGCCGTCCAGAAGCTAATTGGGATGATGCTAAGTGCTTGCCCTTTTGAAGTGCTCAGCAGAGGAAGAGGCACGTGGTCACCCCACAGGGAGGACTGGATGGTCTCTTAAGGCTGGTCAGTCACATTGCTGTTTTCTTGGGGGTATTTTCCATCAGCTTTCCCTGAGACTTACGTTCAAGACTTCATTACCTACCAGAACTCTCTTGGAGAGCCCTTTCTGAACGTTTCTAGCAGTTTCTGTAGTACCCTTGCTGTGTTTGACATTTAGAGGAATCAGACAAGTCAAAGAGGGATGACCTTGGGATCAAATGTAAAATGTTGACCTGTACTTTGTGGCTCACTCACTCCAGGGCTCCTGCCAGCAGCAACTGTCAATCAATGACCCAAGTGGATTTTTATCCACTGAAGAAGTGTTCTCCATACAGGACTTTTGACTAAGGGATCTGTTGTGCTAACTGATCGTGGGCCTTCCAAGCTGGAGGATTTGGCTTAACTGATCATGTGAGGGCCACTTTAATAACAGGGCTGCAGTATCTGAACTGGGTCTGTGCTGCAAACACAGATATAACAGATACGTTCCTCCATTCAAAGGCTACGCAGGTCTGGCCCTACTTAGCCTCTGAGATGAGATGAGGGTGGTATGGTCATAGACCAGAAGGCAAGAACACCAAGTGACAATCAACAATATCCCCGGTTTCTCCCTCTCCCCTCAGAACCCTATCCATAAAGCCAGCGTTTGGAAGGACCGTCTCTCTGTCCACTACTGTAACTGAGAAGAGCACAAAGCTCAGACCACTACAGCAAGAGCTTCTTCAGGGACAGTAGGCATAGATCTCAGGTGAATCAGAAGTTCCCGGATGTAAGAGCTTATGCCACTGACCTAAGAACAACCAGGACATTTTGACCAGTCTTTTTTGGGAGTGGGGGTTGGGGGGGGTCTGAAAAGTGCTAACTTTGTAAGGTTTTCCTGTTACTTGCTTTGAGTTGTCCATGCTTCATACTCAATTATGAGTTCATCATCGATTCAATAGCTTGTCCCATTGGCTTGTTCTGTCAATATGACTCTGGCCAACTCTTATAGTTGGGCTTTGTTTTCTTAAGGTCCTGAACAACACATGAATCAAATGGCATATGGGTGCCACAAGGAAATGGAAGGATACATTGTGGAAAGTTCTGGTCTCACAAGATGATCTCCTCTGGACTCCAGTGCCAAACACATTTGTCCCATATAAAGACAGCATTGCACTCCCCCTGTCCCACTGTAGGGACCAGTAAGCTTTTAGTCTGAACCATAGATATTGGACTTGTGAAATAAGATCCAGCACCAAGGACAGCACCCAGACCAAGCAGTCTTTAAAATGTTTAAGATCATTTTCTCCAGTGTGTGTGTGTGTGCGCGCGCGCATGTGTCCCTGTCCTTCCTTCCGTCCATCTCTCTATCCATCTATCTGCCCATCGCCATTCATGAGTATGTATCTCTGTAGAGGTAACCATGCACATGGAACCTGCATGCATCATGCGTGTGTAGTTCCAGATAGCTATGAGTGTCAAGGCCCAGGCACTTTCTTCTGTTTGTTTAGGACTGAATCTCTTGCTTGCCTGGAACAAGCAGACAAGGCTATTTGTGAGTTCCCAGGATCTGTCTTTATATCCCATCTCGTGATCACTAGGATTATAAGAACATGCCAATAAACCCAGCTTTTCATATGGCTTTCTGGTGACTGAATGCTCACACTTGCAAGGCAAACACTTTAGTGACTGATCCATGTCCTCAGCCCTGTGTACCCTTTTTCCTTGACTCTAGTACACCATTCCAAGTCAGAACTCAAATCCATCACCCAGAGCTTCTTTCTCTTTGCTGGTGCTCTTTGAAAACAACTTTGTGTTGGATTGGGGTTTCTGTACTTAACAAAAGGTAATGTTAGACTGGAGAAAATAGGGTACAGCACCAAGGACAACATCCAGGCCAAGGGGCAATCTTTTAGAGAGCATTTTAAAACCGTGTGTGTGTGTGTGTGTGTGTGTGTGTGTGTACAAGGTACAGGTAACTAGACATGATTTACAAGCTTGATATGGGTGTGAAGAATATGACTTTAAGGGAACCTGGACAAGGACTTGGTGTTCTCTGAAAATACAATTTAGACAAGCTTGTTCCACAGGGCACTTCCGGTGAAGACCATTTATGGGGTCACTTCTGCTTTGATATAAAACCTTATTTCTCAACAAGGCTTTACACCATTTAAAAAGAGTACAGCACATGTGGCTGGCAGAATACAGCCTGTATCTCTGGGTGTCAATGCTCTGAGAACCAGATGGATGCCTCCTTGTAGTGGCCAGGGCCCCCTGATTTCAGTTTGGCATTCCAGTCTCCCTAGCTATGGAATGCTT